TTATTTGAATATTACTTGATAAAGCTTATAATTTTTTAATCCATTTAAATATAACTTAATTTTTTTAAACCACTAATTTTATACCATCTTTGATAGATATAAATATAATTATATATACTACAAAACCACTTCTATCTATTATTTATTATTAAATCTTTTAAAACTCTTTTCAAGTATAAAAAATATTATGTAATCAAAAATAATATCTACTTCCAACATTATTAATAAACTCTAAGGATCTTCTTTTAATATTAACTGACTAAATACAAAAAAAATTACTCTCTGTTTAAAAATAACCTTTTAAAAAAAATCTTTGAGATAAATATACCAACTATTTTTATTTTATAAAATTTTAAATAATCATAATTGATCTGAAATTATATATTATTAATAAAAACTTGAATTTTATTTTGATCTGTAAAAAAAAATAGTTGTTAGCTTTTATTAACAATTATTAGTAGTACATTCCAAATATGTTTGTATACTTAATTTAAACCGATTATTTTTTAATTTTAAAATTTTAGAAGACATTACTTTTGCTTTAAAAATTCCATAGAGTGCTATTTAAACCTTCAATAAAAATTTGAATTTTTAATTAAATATAAGATTAAAAAGTTAATTAAATTTATTAGTATAATTATAGGAGATATTGGTATTTTTTAAATTTGTGGTAGTCTTTGTACAAAACACAGATTAACTACTTTTGTATTTCAAGTAATAATTTTTTTTATATTCAAAGTTAAAATTATTTATAAGGAAATCTATATATTTGTGATTGATTTTGAATAGATACCAATTGAAGAAGTTTTAGAGTTAGTAAAAGTCAATTATAGTTATTAGAGTTAGTAAAAGTCAATTTTATGTTTGATAAAACTTTTTGATTGTAATTCAGATAATAAAATTTAATAAATTAAGAAAACTTAAATTTTAAACCAATGACTTTTGGCAATACAATATTTTTTTATCATATAAATACACACACATACATATATACAATTAAGAAAAGAGCTTTTATTAGAAAGTAGGATGTCTCATATAACATGGTTAGTTTTTAATGAAAAGAAGACCAATCGGTCATTGATATTGTTGAATTCAAATTAAGATTAAATAATTAGAGCACAAGATAATTATTTTGAAGTTACTTTATTATTTACAGTTCAATATATGTATCAAAAATAGTTTTAAAAAAATCTGTAGTTTCTATTATATAAAGAATTAAAAATTAAAAATTAAAATTAAATAAGAAATAATCACTTGAACAATGGATAAATTTAACAACTAAAATTGCATTATAGTTGAAACATATACTAAAGAGTTAGCCAAATAATAAAAAATACCCATTTAAAATCAAAAGAAACCAATTTAAAGACAACACTATACATAAAAGCAAGTAAAAATAATAAATATTAGAAAGTCATGAAAAATTAGGATAATGAAGTTGTTAGAGTTAAACGATATAAAATAGAAGCTTACAAGCAATGTGCAACAATGATAGAGAATTTATATAATTCTTTAATAATATTATTAATTTTAATAAAAGAATAGAAGTGCTTAAAATTCAAATTTATTATTAAATAATTATATAAGGCTATTGGTTAATGTGCTTGTTTGAACTAATTTATACAAAAAGATTTCTCTACAGTACTTAAAATGTAAGTTTATGTAAAGATGGTGATGCTTGTTGGGAAGCATGTAAATAATTTTATAAACAAAAGAAAGGATCTATATTCAAATTAGAGTCATAATGTTTAATCAAATTACAACAAAAAGTATGTTATATGATTATTTCTGTCACTTTTGAAAGTAGAAAATAAACAATACAAAAGGCAGCACTAAAATAATTCTATTAAATTTATTATTTAGCAAGATAGTCCTATTAAAGGTTTTATATAAAAATTTTTAGAATGATTAAGAATAAAATAAAGAATAAATTAAATATTAAATTTAATATTTATATAATTATCTTGATTTTGATATCTTTAAATATTATATTCTATTTTTTATCCTATAAATTTAATTCATGTTACTTTTTTTTTGTCATTAAAAACATCTATATATGGTTTTGTTTTTAATTTTTTTAAAATAATTCTAAAAATTATAAAATTATATATAAAAAAATCTATTCGGACCTAAGTAATTTATTACAGTCTTAATTGTTCAAAAAAGCCTTCTAATAAGTCTAAAGATAAATCATGATATTTATTTATTTCTTCAACTAAATAATTATTACCATAATTTAGTTCATTTTTATTAATTGATAGGTCTTAGAGAGTTTTTTTTATAAAAATATAATTAAATAAAAAATACCTTGTAATATGTAAAAAATAACTTTCTATGTCAAAAGAATTTAAATTTTAAAAATATGTGTATTTTTGTTTTAAAATTATAATTCTGCAAAGTTATTTTATTTCCTTGATTTTTTTTCATAAATCTCTTTAAGAATCTAAAACATATGAAACAAGATCTTATAAGCACGTTTGAATAAATTCAAAAAGAATTAATGAAAATTGAAGTTTTAAATTTTTTTACTTACATATTAGTGTTTGTAAATAAGTTGATGTGATCTTTTAATATTTTTGACATAAACTTCATTGTAATCTTTAATGAATACAATAGTATATTTTCAATTTTTTTGATATATAGATATATATATATATATATATATATATATATATATTTGACTATCTTACAATCTACAATGTTTTTATAAAAGTTTCAAAAAATTTGATACTAAAAATTTCTTTGTATGTTAAAAATAATAATTGCAACTTCTACAAAGTGTTTGTATTTAAAGATCTATAAGAATGAGTTGTAAAATCTACTTCACTTATAAGTTCAATATAACATATATAGTTACAAATAAATGAAGTATTTTTGATTGGCTAACTATGAGTGAAAATTAAATGAAAATACAGAAAAACGAGTAAAAATAATACTTTGAAATTTTGAAAAAGTTCTAAAAATAATATTATAAGTAATAGAAGTGAAAATTTTATTATATTCATTATTTTAAAAACTACATACAACTTATTATAATTCTAATATATACATTTTTTCATATAACATATCAAAGTGAAAAGTGTACTATTTTTAAGGAAATATTTTTTAATACAGATAGTAAGTATTTTTTATCAAAAGAGTTATTATAGTATTAATAGTTTTACTTCTCTATCATAAGATATATGCTTATTTTAAAAATAAATTAAAACTAATTTTAAATCAGATAGAAGTTTGGGCAATTAGGTAAGATATTATTACATAGATTTAATATATACCAATATATATATAAATACGTAATTATATTTTATTGATTAAATCAAAGAAATTATTATTAAACATTAAATAAAGCATAATCATTTATATTTTATATTTAATAAAGTAAAATTAAAAAGTTGTAATTTATTATAGATTAATTCTTATGTTTGATATATTTAAATTTATCTAATAATAATTTAAGTGGTCAAGCACAAGATGATCGAATAAAAGTACGAAGAACAAGTTTTTTTTTTTTTTTTTTTTTTTTTAAATGAGAAGTTGAACTTCAAAGAGGAAATTAGGTGTAGAATCTTCACTCCGGGACTTGCTCATAATGGAACAGGGTTGGACTGAGAAGTCTGGTGGGTAGCAACCAGGCCGGAGTGTGCCGCGCTCCAGGAGACAGGGAACCAGGTGGGTAAGTGCGTAGGTAGGGCGGATGGCAAATACTGCGGGCAGCGTGGAAAACTTTTCTGCAGGCGAAGCACAAGACGAAGCGGGTGATGGTGGAATTAGGGCCTGGTGTGTGCACGTTGGTGATCGTGATGGCGAAGGAAGATTTGCTGCATCATCTAACTCTGCTTGTGCGCTTCTCGACCTTCGACCTCCGTCTCTGTGGGTAATGTCCCTCCCCTCACTTTCACCCTCCTGCGCCGTCGGCGTCGGCGTAACACCATGTCCAATTTTTTCTGCCGAGGTGCGTCTGACCATGACGTTCTTAGACGCTCGAATTATGTCACCTATTCGTCTTCTTCTTCTGGTTCTCTCATCGCACAGTGTCTTTTTGGTTAGGCTCCAATGTCGGTTGGTTGTGTTCCCGTGCGTGGATATTGGAATGTTTTATTTCCTTCACCGTGACGGAGCAAGATTTCGGGTCGATTGGGGGTTTGCTTGTGCAAGTGAAATGTCACATGCTGCCTTGTTGTTGATGACGTGATAAAGTGTTGAATTTGGTTGTCATGTTGAATGAGGACTCTGTTTTGCACGATGACGGCGAGTGAATTCGTTAGAAATGCGGATTGTCAGTAATGTCCTATAATCATTGGATTCTTGCAGATGTTTGTACGCATCTGCAGTGATCGCAATCTTACTGCGTGTTCTCTCTGTTTGTTCTGCGGCCTTGTTTCATTGCTTCTGCTCTTCATTGCGGCTTGCACTCAAGGTTTGGGAATAGTGTCTCACTAACATGACAACCTTAATAGCACGTCGGGATTGGTCATGGTCCTACTATTGGTTCGGTACACTGTTGCAACTGCAATTGGTATTAAGTTTGGACTCATATTCACTTTAGAGTCGAGGCAATGTTACACGTGATTCCAAATCCCGACGTGCTATTGTGGGTGGTAGCTAGTGTAGTGTTATTTAAAAGTGCCTCTGACTCCTGTATATTAGGATATGCTTGAACGAATATTTCGCAATCTTTCACAATTATATGAGACAGGTTAAGCTCAAGTCTCGAGTATGTTGAGTCTTGGTCAATGCCATGGTAGAGTCGCTTTTTGGTTTGTCTTTCCTCTCGGAACAGAAGACATGGGCATGCAAGACAAATATGATTACATGTTATTTTTCAATTTGTCAAAAATGACTTCTTTGGGTGTTTTTTATTTGTTTCGTATAATCTTCTTTGTCCAACTATGAGGTATTCACAATTGTTCGCTTCGCAAGCATTAATAAAGGGAAGACTTACATTATCCGCATGTGTTTGTTGTTCGGGTTAGCAAGAGTGTGAAGAAAGAGCTCGGATGTCTGCTGTTCTTTTTTTGGTAATTCCTGTCGCTTCATGATTTTAAAATGATTAACCCTTCCTCACCTCCCCTAAACAAATCTGGCCCTCAACTATCTCAAACATCGTCTGAATACACTCATTTTCATTCTCAGGTTTACAGCAGACATGAGATTACTTTCAAGAGCAGATTTGATGCTTGCTACACCTATGAAGTTTGTGAGCATGCGTGCGACAAATAAATTGACTAGCTGATGGTGTATCCATCACCGGGCTAAATTGTACCAGGGTTTTTTGAGAAAAAGTTCTTTGTGATCGGTCTGGCTAGATTGTAGACGGGTGACAACTAAATCTTATGAAAGTGAGATCTTCTATGATGTTTTGCAGCGTCTAAATGGCACCTTTAGATCTGCTGCTCTTCACATAACCTTCGTCTGTTGCAGTATCAATTTGGCGATGGATGTTTGTATACTATTTTTTAGGCTTAGTGGTACTATCTGTAATGTTTGGCAAGTACGATTGATAGACACAGTCGGAACTGGTTAAAATGATACTACGAGTTCGGACACCTTTTTCAATCGAGAAGATATTCGATCTAAATTGGTGACGTACTGTTTCGGACGACTGGTACATGTGCGTACAAGTGGCTATGCCATATTCATAGCTTCACTTTTTACTTCTTACTATTTGGAGGTTGTCATGAGTCACATATTTGCGGATTCAATGGATGCTGACTAGTAAAGACTCTTTTTAGGACAGGGGATGCGCTCTGATATTTTTCGATAGGCATATTCTGTTAAATTGCTGTTGCAAGCTGCAAATCATCTCCTTGTTCGTTTTTCCAGGTGCTAAATGCAAGGTCATTTATTGTATAGTTTTGAAGAGTGATGTGAGAGTGAACTATACAAAATAGGATGCCGACCTGTAGTATCTATTGATTCAAATACATTAAATTGTAACGTAGAGTCTCACTGATGCGCTTTGAGGTGATGTTCAACTAGCTATTGAACGTTTTGATGACAGTGGACCTAAAACCCTACAGATAATGCCGTTGTTGTGGAGGAATAGTTTAGCTTGTTGAAAGCTCCGACAACCTACGAACGGCTTTAGAGTATTGAATGCTTGAGCAGGAAAAGCTAGTTTCTACATTCAACAATTAGTACAGAAGAGTTGGAATGAGAGTTGTTCATCACAACGTACATGTTAATGAGTTAGGTTTTTGTTACTTTCATAATTTAGTGGGTGTTAGTGGTGCTGTACTGACAAGCACTGTTCCTAACTGCAGTGAGAACAGCGATAACGGAGCAAACCATTGAGAGTGGCGAGCTCGTCTTCTACAGCACGGTCCATTTTGGCTTTGCTCTTCCAGTCATGACCTCCTGCAGCAATCAAGGGCGTGAACTTTGAGCCACCTAATCGCTAACCTACACTTAGCAATCCACTATCTTAATTTCTTGCCTCAACTTATGATTGATAGATGTGCGAAAAAATAACGGAGGGTACTACCGGACAGTGGGACGACCACATTGCCTGGAGGCGCATCGTTGCATACATGACTTTTCAACACTTGAGGATACAGCACATCTAAATTAAAGGAAAACCACGTAGTGACAGTCATTTAAGAACCCTTTCGAATTTGAACTGCTGCCTAATCCTGGCTGTAAGAGGGTGGAGCGCACTTATGGCAGGTTCATGTCACATACAGATAGGTCCACCACCTGTCCTACCTGACCCAAAATTTAGAATCTCATTGATGAACAGTAGGTCACAAGAGTAGGTGACAGCAAATAAGATTGGCAAAGTTGAACAATTTGGTAGATTTCCAGAAGTTTTCACAAGCAGACCACAATTTTTTCGGATCCAGAAGATGATTAAATCCCAATCTTCAGCACGTATCCCTACAAATGCTGTAAGATATGATAACCTACGCTCTCGGAAATTTATTTGAAAAAGCCCAATATATGAATGGTTTGTAATGGTAGGTCATTGATAAAGGAGTAATTTTTTTTTTTATTTTTTTTAATTTTTTTTTCTTCTTCTTCTTTTCCCTGTGAAGTATGACTTAAAACACATGCCTCATGCGAAAATTGCAAAATCATTCTTAATCGAACCATGGGAGTCACTCAGAAGCACATTACTATCCTGCCGTGTAACTGTGTTCTAAATTCCAATGTCGTCATGTAATCACTGCGTCTAGGATAACTACGTCACATGATCTAGCGCAAACTATGGTGATGGGTTGAGTATTGCTCATCAGAGTGAAACATACCAGCGACGCCGTGTTGGTGGGGGGGGGGGGGCTGTGAGAAGCATCTGCATGGAAGAGCACCGGGGAGCTTTGAGTCCAGCCAGCTTGAGCAGTGACGAGAACTGGAGCAAGGTGCGGCCGGAGAGACACCGTTGAGACCCACCGCAGGAATATGTGCACCTCAACTCAGATTGCAACGTAAACCCTCTCCGCAGGATGCATGGAGGGGCACCAGCAACCGAATGAACGAAGTGTTGAAAACGTCCCAACATTATTGTCCACAGGGAGAGTAACAAACAACTAATGGATATCGTCTAAGTTAGAATTCTAATTGATATGTTAGAGAGCTAGCAACACGTGCAAACCCACGTACCTGCTGCTGCTGCTGCTGCTGCTGCAGAAGTAGTAGTAGTAGTAGTAGTCTTAGTAGAAGACAAGGCTGCTGCAGCGGTGCCAGAGAACTTCCCCCACGCACCAGCAGCGCCGAGGTGTTTGTTTCCTTGGGTTAATCAGTAGTAAGATCGAGTCAGTGAGTAGTAGAGGTAGCAGCACCAGGCTCCACTACTATTAGTTAACAGGACCCGATGGCAACCCTGGCTACAATAACACTATTGACGACCCTGTTCCATGGATGCACCACGACCTCCACCTTCAGGCCGAGCCTCTCCAGGCCTGCCACATCCACCACCGGATACAACAAGCCCCGCAGCGAGTGCGCACTTCGTAGGACCACCAGTGCTCCCCTTTTCATCTTCTTCACCACGCTTCTCACCACCTCCTCCTTATCCTCCACACTCATCCCCACTAATGCCGCTACGTACACTACATCGAACGTCGTCAGGTCCGTGCCGACATCGGTTGCGGACGCGCACAGGAATTTTTGCACCTCGCCTTGTGGAGCAGGCAGGTTGGCACACAGTCGCGCGGATATGTTGATGGCCGCGGCATCATAGTCAACGTTGAGGATTTTCAGCGCGGGCGTCGTGGGGTGTAGAAGCTTGGCTAGACAAATCGACGTGAGTGGCAGAGGGCCAGATCCCAGGAAGGCGATGGTAGTGGGTGGGGTGGGGTTGATGGAGAGCAGGGCATTGAGTTCCAGGCGCGAGAGGTCGAGATAATTCTGGTAGTATGGGAAGGACGACAGTGGGATTGCGGCGGCAGAGGTCGGGGTGAGGAGGACGTTCGCCCAGTGCGATTCGAGCGCACATTCACCTGTCGAGCAGAGCGTACGGAGATGCGGCGTGATGGAGGATATGCGGGGGTCTTTGAGAATCTGTAGAAAGTATTGTCAGAGAGATTCTGGATGACAGTATAGTTTCAGCTGGTGCGGCGGCATCATCATCATCATCATCGATAGGAAGAGAGTGAGAGATGGAATTAGGGGGGTGAGGCGGCGTAGTACCTTAACAACAAGAGCATCATCCGACAGCGTTGTGATACACAATTCCACCAATTTTCCGAACACCGTATTCACTTCGTCCCTTGGTTCGAGAGACGAGAAGCTGGACAGCTGTTTGTAGAGCGATAAGATCTCGCGGATGTGTTTATTCGCTGTGTCGGGTGCGGTGTCGGACGATTTGGAGGCATTCGGGGGACAAGTGGACGGGAACGGGAGGAAAATCGACAAGAATGAGCATGGCGTTTTAGAAATAGCGTCTGGAGTCATGTCTGCTATCGATATGTTGTAAGAATGTATGATGACTAGAGTGGGAGAAATGTGTGACCGGTGGAAGAAATGCGCGACCGGTTGAAGAAATGCGTAAACAGAGGCCTGTAGTGGGCTAGACAGAGAAATCAGAAGCAAGGCGCAGAGGAATGATAAATGCGCGATCTGTGATTCGAAATGCGGAGGAGCTCATAAATGCCGATCAGCTTTAGCGTGGATGGCGTAAGCTTCAGCTCCGCAAGTATCTGTAGTGCCGAAGATAGAAAGGACCTTAGCACAATTTCTCCACCCACATGCGCAGGTCACGAATGCCCTTTGTGGCTGGATGAGGGCAGGCAGGGTTGGCCGGCCGCCGGTGATTATGCTCGAACCTCTGTTGATGCCTTGCCCCCAGCAGCGGAATCAGTTTCAATGCTCATCGTAGCTACAGACGAATCAGGGTCGTGCGGTACGGGACAGATGGGTGTTCCGAAACCGCACCAGGTCAAACAAAGTGCCAACAATACCCAAGGCCTTCAAGCAACCACGGTCAGGTGTTGGAAGCACTTCTGAATCATTGTAATGCAAGTGCCGAACAGCGAGGCAGGTAAGAACGCTGGACGGACTAAGTGAAATGCAGAGTCGACAGGGAATTGCGTGTATTCGGGTGCGATGCGGGGTCGAGAAGGGGGTAGAAATTGTCGGACCACAGTTAACGTGCTTCTGTCGGGCGTGTGCTGGGCCCGTGGTCAGGATCCAGTCGCGTGCTGAGCTCGTGCTGGAAGCCTTGTCCTGAGCCAGGGCGTGGCGATAGCCCGTGCTTGCAGCGGCTCCTGTTGTACACATTACCGATATTAGGAAACTTATTAGTTCGGATCGGATCAGAACACAACACTGTACCAGACTTCAGATTCAGTATTCTCGGGTATCCATGCATGATTATCTCTCGGCCGATCACCTCCCACTCTCTGCAGCAGAGACTCCCCTCCTCCCTAGGATCTCAAGCTTGGTCACGCATTGATCCCCGCTACACCTATTTATAACCAGGACATGGATCATGCGCCAGTGCATACATTTTGCACCTTGCTCGCTAAAGTCCTACTACGGGTTTAAACACCCACCTGAAGACTCTATTCTAAGATTCTTCAACACACCACTATATTCCGATTCCCTTACTCGCATGCGTGACCACACAAAGCCCTGCATCTAATACACCCACTGTGCAGCTAGGTAGTTCGACACTCTTCTTCTTCTTCTTCTTCAACAGTCCACCCCACAGAAAGCAATATGCTCCGGAGTCCGTCGCACCATCCCTTCTTCGATTGTCCCCCCCCCCCCCCCCAGTGCCGCAGTTCCTCACTCCCCCCCAAGGTGGACCCCCATTGATGCTGCTTCCTTGCACCTTCCTTCCCGCCCTCCCGTTTCTTCGAAGCTTCGAGCCCCGTTTCGCCCTGTCCCGAGGTGGGTTGGTTGGGTTGGTATGGTTGGCCTGGTGCCCTTCTGGGCTTCGGAAGATCGTTTGATTGTTTATTTGTATTTTATTGTATTGTATTGAATTGTTGCGAGGAGGAGGAGGAGGAGGAGGAGGAGCTTGCTTCCCCAATGATGAAATGAAGTGTTTATCCATTTGCACTTCGCACCACCACCGCTTGGACCCAACAGCATTGTTATCTCCTTCTATCACTCGATTTTTTATTATTATTATTCTGTCTCATAAATTATTTATAAGGATAAATATATATATATATATATATATAAGTGGGGAATATGTGAACTTCCAACATGCGCATCTTGTCTTGTATTAGAGATCGGGGAATCTTCTGGGTTATGCTCCCCCATTAAACACCTACTTCTCTTGTAGATAATGTGGCCATCTTCTATGCTCCTTGTCTAGTGGGCGTGACATGCAAACAAAGTTTGTTATTAAAATATGCACAGAAGAGAGACAACGTGGGGATCGATGAAGATGAGTGTAAGAAGAGGCGTCGAATCTTGCATGCCAATATTCGCCAAGTAATTTTCTTGTGAATTATGTTATTTGTGCGTTCAGCGGTTACACTCCGACATTGAAAAATCAGAGTCTGTGTGAAAAGGTTATATTTGAAGTGAAATTCATGTAGTAAAAAAATGAAAATATAAATGATGTTGAGATTTCAATATAGTGTTTTGAAACTATTTGAAAACATGTATTGATAGTGGTTGCATGCATTTTCTTTTTAAACCTTAAATAGATATTACACATTTTTGTAATTGTATGTAGATGCAATTATGTATATATATATATATATATATATATATACATAACCAATTGCATTCATATCTTTATTTATTCGTGTTATTTATAGATGCGTTTGAATATATAAAAAAAGGTCAATAATTTAATGACAATGCTTTTAAACTGTCAATTTATTTTAAAACTTGATTCAAAAAGAAATAAGAAAAGAAAAGAAATGAAAAGTGATGGTCACAACAATTTTTTAAATGTATCTTTGGAGTTTTCTGTAAATATCAAAAGAAGTCAACATTTCTTATCATCATTTTTTTGATTCTATATGGGAATAATATATATATATATATATATATATATATATATGTGTGTGTGTGTGTGTGTGTGTGTATAAATCAATCAAACTGGACATAGATTTTGGAAATAAATTTGATGGCCAGCATACATTTTGGATTTTAACACATCACACAATAACCCACTCTTTTTTACTTCTACTTTTTTTATATATACATTTCCTGGTGAGAGAATTACATGCTTAACCCTCCAGCAGCATCAAGAGTTAAGCTCCTATTAATTTAAGAATCCCAGCAATTATCCTCCACCAATCAAATATCACGTGGTGTAGATGGGTTCACGCCAGTGTGAACGAGACCCAGAATCGGAATAAACAAAAAGGATTCCGAGGGGGAGTGGAGTGGTGAGTTTTAGGGTTTGTTGAAGGGGTCAAATAGTGGGACCCAAATGGAGAAAGGAACAGAAAAAGAAAAAAAATGGGGGGGGGGATAGAAGGGGCTCAAGGAGGATTGAAAGGAATCATGCTTCCCCTTCTTCAATTCCAATACCATTACAATACAAAAAAAACATATTACATGACAATCCAATACAATCCACATTTGGATAGAGATGGTAGGAAGAAAGACAACATAATTTCACCCCCCCCCCTTCTCATCATTCCTCAATCAATTAATCAATCAATCCATCACCTCTTTCTAATATAACTCCCCCGCCCCCGAAACATACTCACATACAAAAGTTATGATGGTTTCTCTTCTATCAATAATCTATAATCATATATATATATATATATAGAAGAGAGAATGACTATTATAAATTGTTGTAATATAAGTATACTACAAGTGTATTCTCCATAATTATACTATAATATATCAAGGATTTATAATATGGTCATAGACCTTCACAGATATTATAAACCCGTGCCATTGTCACATATTATACATCTAGATTATGTATCAAAAGTGGATGTATGGACAACATATATAGTAGAGAGAATGAATATTATGGATTATTTCTAATTTTATGTTATTTGTTGTGAGAACAAAATGAAGAAGATTAAGGCAGGTGTTGTGTTTTAACCTACCTTAGAGTAATTAAATTGTGTAGTGAATGTTGATTCTGCGATGATTAGTTTGGGTGTATATGTTTTTATGTTGTGCCAAGAGATGGGAGCTAATTTATATGATCTTAAATCAAAGAAGTTGTAATCTCTATGAGAAAATTAGAATAAAATTTTAAATGAAGAAGAATACAAACAAAGCAAAGAAAGATCAATGGAATAGAAATTATTAGAAAAGAAAAGTAAAGAAAAAGAAGAAGAAAGGTGGGTCTTGTATTTCTGCATGTATTTTAGTTATCTTTTTATACAGAAAATGCGTTTATAATGTAATTTTCATGCGAAAAATATTATCAATTAATTCATTAGTGATATATATATATATATATATATATATAATTTTTTTCTTCTAAAATAGATTGTTTTAAATAAAAGTTTAGAACTATTCATTGCACCACTACCTCATAAAGGCTGATTGTCCATGGTGTTTTGATTTTTAAAAAAATTAAATTTTAAAAAGGGATTTGAAGTCACCTCAGTCATACAAGTGCAACTATAAAAACTTGTGATATGGATTATTTATTTGACATTCATATGTAAGTGATATTTTCAATTGACTTACAAGCATGCAAAACCTCTTTGTGATAAATTTTCTATATCAAATTTATTAGAATGATAGATTTTCAATATCTAACATGGTACTCTTTGTGGAAATTGGTTATGTTTCAAGGATTACCATGAATTTCACATTGAATGGATTTTGGCACAAATCTCATGTAATCAGATCAATGCTTCACATCAATGCAATTTTTTTATTTACCTTAAATAGTAAACATTGTAATTAGTGCCAGATAAATAATCAAAAGAAACCAAGCTGGTTAAATTTGGTTTTTGGTTTTTTTAAAAAAAATTATAATTATAATAATATATGAGTTGGATTATTTATTAAAAGAATGCCACTCACACATAACTTTTAAAAATACTAGATTGCAAAGAATGCTGTTCAACCTCAGCACCACAACACATTCGTAAAACCACTGAAAATTTATGTGCATGACAAATGAAGACATTTACTTTACTTGGTGAAAATTCTATTTTATATTCCTCATCAAAGAATGCTTATAACATTTAACATACATATTTATGTATGTTAACATTCTAATGCTGGTAGTGGAATATTGGATTGAAATAAATTCTGAGCCATGTATGAAGACCATAAAATTATATGAAGTGGATCTGTATTTTTATTTTTCAAATTTTTAAAAAAATCATTTCATTCATATAGTTGGAAAAAGAATCACCTTTTTCCCAGGTTAGCAAAAATATGGAATTGCAATGATATTTGAGAATCTTACAGAGTTTCAATGTCTTCAGCTTCACAATAATTCCAATCATTACTAAAGTAAATTCATTACATAAATAGGACTAATTTTTAAAAATTGATTTTTTTGATTTTTAAAAATTTGCACAAGCTTTGATTATTTTCAGAAATATTGCTGAAAATATAAATTATAGTTTGCAAAGTACATTAAATTATGCATCCATTATTATGATATTAATACATGTAGATATTCATATATTTATATCCATAAAACACCACAATAATCTTATAAAATTTAATTTTTGTTTATAAATTTGTTATTTTATTACCAAGTTAAATGATATTCTTGATTAGCTCTCTATTATAGATTTACATATTTATTCCAATAATTACCTATATAATTAAATAGATGTTATTAAAAATAAATTAATTTCATAATATCTTCTAGAG